CGATTTAGATGACTGAAATATGCACTCAGTAACTCCCCCTATTATAGGTACTACGGAACTGCATAGAGCAAGGTCGTAAAATCAGTCAATAGACAAAGAAATTGTCGGAAATATGGGCATATAAGAACGAGAAATGTGGGTCAGGCCCATACAAAGAAATTTTTAGCACAGTATCAATGTATAGTATAACACAGGAAATCCATTTCGAGTTATATGAATCTGCGTTGCAAGGGTACGACTCTGGGCGCGGTTATGGTTTAAATTATTACCTCATTTTATCGTTTCCAACGACCATTCCTTATAATACAATGTCTCGTAACGCTGCAAAAATAAAAGCTTATGTTATACGAACTGTGCTACGGTTTTGCGTATGTTACATAAACGAACATCCACTTAGATTAGGTTAGGTTAGGTGAGGTCTACCTGGCTCCGAGAGATCTAACGTTTATTTATTCCTCGGACATCCACTTCCTGTATAGTCTTCAAGTATTTCGAAGAAAATCCCAGCCACACTCGCATCCCCTTATATTTTATGGTGAACGTTTGAAAAATCACCATATCGCTGTATCTATAATATTGCAACATACTTAGCACAATATTTATAATATATTTATTACAAATATACAGTAAAAACGTATAATACAATGTATATATTAATCAAGAACATTATTAATTGAAAAAATTATCAATTTCAGTAAGATATTGATTTACAGTTTATATATTATTTATATATTATTTTGTCCCAGCAACGGTAGTACAATCGAGGAGAGGGTAATTCTACATGAAGAAACAAATCGAAAATAAGGAATAAAATTTTTTCATTCGAAGCTTCATTTTCGAGAAAATCAACTTTGAATATTCACCGGGCGCGCGTGCACTTAGTTATGACTCATATGAATAAACCATCGATACATGAGTATCGGTGATACAATCGAGAAAATTGCGATTCTGCATGAAAAAATAAATCGAAAATAAAGCGTAAAATTTTTTGATTCGAAGCTTCGTTTTCGAGAAAATCGACTTTGAATATTCACCAAGCACGCATGCACTTAACTTTCCGTTAAGGCGTATTCGGTAAATATAATAAAAAATTGTATTCTTTTTTTCGATTCGTTTCTGCATGTAGGATCACCCCCTTGGTTATACTATCGTTGCTGGAGCATCCTGTATATCGTTGAATTACTTTCTAATTATATTAATATCCCAGCACTTACGCTTTCCTCTATATACAATATCGTTTCAAATATTTTTAAATAGTAAATGTAAGCGTTCGAATACTTTTGCACGTGCTCGTATGGTTAAATGAAATCAAGTGCATAAATTAGTACAGACTGTGATGCCTAGGTGGCGACACTATGTCCAAGTCCATCAACAAGAATTACACGTGACTATATTTTTTCTCATTACAATTTCTCTTCTTAGATTCTCAATTTATAAAAATAAAACAGTTACTATTTACACTTATTTTTTACATGCAAACAGTATGAGCAAATAATTCGCAAATATTTATAGACAGAATAAATTACTTATAAATAGTCAGATTTTGAATTGTGCATTCAAAACAGAATGGTATCGTACGATTTAATTTACGAGCTCGATAAATATCTTGGCCAGTTCTGTAGTTTAGAGAATCCTAGAAACGTCGATTAAATTCTTAATGAACGGATTTACCCTGTCTTATTTACCATAAGAAAATCGAGGATAGTGGATTCCCGCACGAATTCGATAACGGGGAAATCGGATGCACCTCCGTGTGTGCCAGTGAACAAGAGCTACCGTAAGGCCGTGACCTCTCGACGAGGAGACAATTTGGGTCGCGTTCGTAGATCACGATCGCGACGGCGATCGAGTCACGATTCAGGTCAGGCTCGGTCGTTAAGCGGCGCGTATTTGACCGAATGCTTCCCCGGAGTCACGACAGAGGTCGCCAGCGTCGCCTTCTTAAATATGTTGGAATTTTATGTGCCGGTACAAGTGAAAGTACAAACGATCGTTGTAAATTGCGGGTACTTGTACCGAATAATAAAGTTTACGCTCGTTAAATTGGACGTTTCACTGTTACAAAAAGAGCCAAGAAGCAGTTGTATTACCATTTCTTCCGTGTTTACTGTAATTCGAACGTTCTTTAACTCTTTTTCCGCCGGCAGAATGTGTACCCTCTGAAAGTGGATACTGTAAAGTAATTGTTTGAACAGAGCATATACTGGGTGTCGAGTATAAGGTTGCGAGGCGTTAATGGCTTATGCTACTTACCAGCAGCAGTGAAAAACGTTTAATCAGCATGGAATTAAAATCAATTTTATCATGGCAGAATGTACATTAACTTTCTACTTGTGGGTAACTGAAATATTCTTCCTGGGTAACGTGTTAACTGTGAATAAAGAAATCGCTTGAATTAAAGAAGTTTAAATAAGAAAATATTATCATTAATATAAAAAGAAAATATTTTCTTTTTTATAAATTGAGGTTATTTAATGTATGTACATTATTTTATACCCTTTTATTTTTTCTACAGTATTGAATATTATTATTTTATTAAGCATATTATTAATCATATTATTATATTATTATTTGTTATTGATTATTTTGGAATAATTATTGATTTAAAATTGATTAATTATTAATTATAGATCCTTAAGGTGTTACCAGAAATTTAATATGAACTTAAATGGTATTGTAAACCTTTTAAGTATTATTATAAAAATAGTTATATTCTCCTTTTCTAAATATCTTATACTTATAGAAATTACTGAAGTTTGGTGCTTTAAAATAGGAAAAGCAAAATCTCCAAACTAGAAATTTACCATAAATTATATTATTTTTTATTTTTCAAAGAATTCTATGATCTTTATATATTTACACAATATTTTTAGAAACATTGTTATTTCAATTGTTTTAATAGAAATAGATGAATGTTAATTGATAGTTTAAATAATTTTTTTAAGTTTAAATTTGCAAAAAGTTTTGTTTCATGTAGCTCATTAACTATTTACTCTTTTATTATTAAATATTAACTTTTTGATCCTGTGAATATATTTGCTGTTATAAAAAATTGATTGGTTCCAGAAGAAAAATAGCAAAATAAGATTAAAGTAAAAATGTATAAATATTATTCAAAATTATTAGTAAGAATTATTTGATTCTCCAAAATTGTATTATATAATTCTAACCTATTAAACCTAACAAAAAATAACTTCTTGCAATTTTTGTACTGTCACATTCAAAATTGAAGTACATACATTATTTATTTTGAAAACTCCATATATTTATAGCTAATAATCATATTGGAACCATACTGTTATTTACATTAAACAAAATTTTAATTAGTCCATTAACAATAAAACAAGCTTTAATTGTTTGTATCCCATTAAATAAATTTTTGTAAATAAATATATTACACAAATTATAAATTACACAACAACAAAAGGAATAATTACATACTTCCTTAATGTGTCCTTTAATCCATCTGATCATCAAATGAGTTATAGCAGATGAAGTAGGTTTATGTATGAATCTGAGAAGATATGTATTAAAAAGATAGTTATAATTGAAAGATTGACAAAAGATATATTACAAAAATTTTAAAAAGATGTAAATTTATGTGACAGGATTTATATAATCAAAAGTTGACCCTTTGCATTGGATCGCCAATTAATAATCATTCATACTAATGATTAATGATGAATATTAAATTTATGGGGAGGTATTCTTATAATTCGACTTAAAAAAATCAATTTTTTTTTTACATTTTCTCAAAGTATATGCTTTCGAAAATGTCCGTGTAAAAGGGTTTGTTTTAAATTCGTAAAATTAGCAAAGTTATAGATGTTTAAAGTGCGGAATACAGGCATTGTACAATGGGTAACGAAAACTTTAAACGCGTTTTTCTCGAAACCGTATTTTTCGAACTGGCTGACGGGATATCTCGCGTTCTAGTTGACCGAATGACTCGAAATTTGGAGAAGATCTTCACTGGATGTACCTTTATCGCATGAACCACGGATTTCAAAATCTGATGCTTTTTCCTATTTTTGTTTACCACTGAAAGGACGAAAAGCACAAAGAAAATTGATATTTAAATTTCAAAATGCTGCCCTTTTTTTAATTTTCGAAATTTTGGTGTTTTGATGGTTCATGCTGTAGCCGTATTTATATTAATTAAAATGCTTTTTGGCTTTTTCATTCCCGATAACCATATGGTCCGCAATCGCGTCAGTCATTCGAGTCTGTTTTTAAAAACATGATTTATTTAAGGCTATGTAATTTCCACAATTTTCATTAATTTCTTAAAAAGGAAAAAATTGTAAATATTATCTAAGTATTCTCTAAGCATCGTGGTTTCCTTAGAAAAAAATCCCAAAAAGTCGATTTTTATAGGCCGGAAGAATCTTAAAAAGTTTCATAGGTCGTTATTGCACTTGTTTTTTGATTAAGCTAAAAAATAAATAGTTCGTAATTATGTCACGAATAATATTTTAAATTGTCGATAAAAATGTTAACGAATCGTGTATTTATATTTAAAAATAAATAATTCAAATTTATAATCCACGTTTTGCATAAACAGGAGACAAAAAATTTGTAATTAGTTATTTATCATACGTGCAATATAATAACAAAAAAAACAAAGCAGTAGAGAGTTGTTTTTCACATGTGACTTGGTAAAAAATTGAAACAGCTATAAATTCTGAAAAATAAAATAAACAAACCTCCAGACAACAGAAATTATGGAAAAATGTTTAAAATATGCATTATATAATTTTTATCGATTTTTCTTTTAAATATCGTAAATACTGCTTAATATAAAGACATGTTGTTCTTTCGTGTAGCGCCATTTTTAATAATCCTGAACTGTCAAGTGTCACGCTGTCGTAATTTTTCCATTAGCAACACTTTGGCATGAATTTTGCGACACCCTATATTATATTACTTATGAATAATAACGTAGCATTCGTTATTATTAAAATAAATAAAAAATTAAATTTTGGTTATTTTCATTTTAGATTATCGCTAGCAAACGCTCTGTACGATAACCCATCGTTACCACGACGAAAGCTACTTCTCAGTACCGGAGGTCAGAATTACCGGCCACCCCTCGAGAGATCGAAAAGCGCGCCAAAACTATCAGCTATCGAAGAGGACATTGTCGCTGAGGAAATAGAACAGCAGAGGATCCTCGAAGAGTTGAGGACACTAGAGAACGTGGCGCGCAGTTGGCAAGATCAAGATAGCTGGAGGCTTGCCCGATTGCTCGATGCTTTGAATCGTGAATCTTCCGATGAAAACGGAAGTATCTCCAGCGGGTGCGAGACAGCCAGCACTGCGACCAGTGAAGAAAGAGCACCTGGTCCCGAAGATCATCACGCCACAGGTCATTATTTCCAAAGTATTCTCTATTTCTGTAATATTTTCCAATAATATCAAAAATGTGAATGAAACAAAAACTCTGATCCCTTCCCCGTTTTTCTGAAATAAAAAACAATTAAAATTTTTTTGTATGTAATGTATGTAATGAAAGATATAAAATAAGGTGAAAATATAATAAATAAAGGATATATATTTTTTAAAATAAATTTTCTAAATTCAGCAAAAGAATTTTCAATTTTATAACTTCTTAATATATTTAAAAAGAATATGAAATTAAAAAAGCTGTTATAATATATGTAAATTAAAGATAATAAATTAAAGATTAATAGATTAATAAAATTAAAAGATTAAATTAAATTAAAGATTAATAAATTAAAGATGATAAATTATAATATCAATTTATAGAAATATATATTTAATACAAATAAGCCTTATAGAGTAAGTACATTGAAGTATGCAGAATTATTTTCTCTCTATTAGAATCATTGATTTCTTTATTAAGAATTTAAAAACCTAGTTCAAGCCACAGATTATGATTATTTAGTATGCCTCAAAGATGTAAAAGAATGTAGCATTTATTTTCAAAATACTGGAGCGTAATACCAATATTTCTTATATTATTTTGTATACATTATATATTATAGTGAAAAAAATATTATAATACAAAATTTTCACACAAAATCAATCCATTAGTAAATAAACTTGCTAGTATACAGAGTGCAATAATGAATTTAAAAGAAAATGCATCAAAAAATACCATTGTAGCAGATTATCAATAAATTACTTTATAATTGTTGTTACATAGATCCTAATTAGCCTAATTAATGTAATAACCAAAGGAGAAAATCGAGACTTAAAATTAAATGTGAGACACCAACTGTAACTTTCCAGCGTTCCACGTTGATGTTTCTAGGTTAGGTTATCAACATAACCTGTTCATTCCGCGATCCGAGAAATTCTTGGCAATTACGAAAACTATATTCATTATCTTATTTCTTTCGTAACGTAATGTGCACATATTGCAGGTGATGCCACGGAACAGCGAACGGACAGACGAGTTATGTTCTCCGACGACACCGTCGTAAGAGGTCCAGGCCCTCGAAGGAATTCCGAAGGCTCCCCAAACTTCATGACCTGCGCCGGGAGCCCGCGCTTTCACCGCCGAAACGTCGTGCACACCAGCAGAGAGAGGTTTTCAGAGCGAAACGAAGAGGACGAGTCGATGGAAGAAGAAGACGAAGAGATAGAGGATCCTGCCTCGCATGTGTTCGACTTCGAGGATGTCGAAGACTTCGACGACGTGGTCGATTACATGCCAAGAGGCGAAATACTGCGAAGGCTCGACGGGCCACAGGACAGAGAGAGACGAGTGATGGAAAAGTATCCTGGCAGAATGAGCCACGACCTGCTGCAAAACGACGATTCCCCTTTCTTAACCTTGGACTCTCTCGACGAGGAAGTGGACAGCGACGAGAGTGGGTACGTCGAGGCACCGCCAAAGTCATTATTGGGCCAAGACGACAGGAAAGAGGAGGAGGAAAGCAATAACAGCCGCATCGAATCTCGTCAAGGTCAGACTAAATCACCGGATGTCCTCAGAGGATCATCGAATGTAGAGGAGAGTCAGAAAAACGAAGATTCCAAAGAAACGAAGGACATGGAAGAGGAGGAGGAAGGAGTGGATGAGGAAGAGAGTGGAGAAGAAGAAGAGGTTGAGTCGAAGGATCCTCTGTCGGCTGTCGAGAACAGTAAGAGGCTGAAAGAGAAAGAAAGAGAGAGAGCCGATTTCATTAAGTGTCCTATCTCAGAGACTATCAAGAAACTGGCAAACGCGTCGCTGAAAAGCTCCAAATCTTTAGAAATGACCACGAACAACTGTCTGAAAGCTCTGAATAATTTAAAGACCTCAAAGTCGTTTGATGGCGTTAAGGCTGTAGAGATGGAGGGGGAGTCTCCGAGTCTTCATCAAAGGAAGCAGTTGCTCGCTCAACAAGGCGTCATCGTTTGAAAGCTTGTCCAAATAAGAAGTAAATAAAAACACGGAAGCCCGAAGATTCTCAAATCTAGGTCTGTTCTTTTCCGATCTTCGATGCCTCGAAGCTGGAATCAACGATAGGCCACTGTACATCACATATTATAGACTCGTAACGATGTCATATTTGTTAGACAATTTTTGGGAGGATAGAAAACTTTATGAAATAACAATCGACACCTGTTCGAGAGGTTTAGCTACGATATTCGTTTTGTTCAATCAATAAGAGTCTTTAGTAAACTGTTGTATCCATGTTATTGATTTAACAAGAACGAAGTACGGTTTTAAGTATCATGAGAGTATGTAACGTTAGAACTTGCGAGGATATACACATGTTGTTCTATCGAATTGTTAAGAATCAAACAATGTTTAGAAAAATCGGATAAAACGGATAACTTTAATTCGAATTAATTATTGAGTTAGGTGCCCTATTGATTGTCAGTACGAAGCTCAGTTTGATAAGGATCATTAGTTTCATCGGTATAATAAGAATAAACTGAATGTTATATTTGAAGGTTACTCTTGCGAAGCGTGGTGCGATTATTTCTGGTTATCGATTCACGAGTGTGTACTTACGGCGCAAAGAGAGTCAGATGAGATTGACGCGTGGTTTAAGGGCAAAATTTTTTAAAACGTAAAGATATATATATATATATTACAGTTTACTCGAAGAACCAGGCCTAAAGCGATTATCTTCATAAGATTAATCATTGCAGATTCGCACAAAATAAATACAATAAAAACAATAATTTTGTAAATACATTTAATAAACGCTAAAAATATTAGGAATTAAAGTTTCATTACCGAAATTTTGTAACGGGTGCTTTAAAAGTAGAAACAAGTTCTTACTTACGTCAATTTTTATCTTTGTTATTTTCAATTATACGAGTTACAATAAAATATTTTTGTTGCTTGTTAATGTCGGTGCAACAAAATATATAACGCTATTTAAATCCACGCGCTTCATGCTTGCTGAAAAAGAGATTAAAAATCCCTCTTGTGTTAGTTACAGATAATTCATTTTACAGAATCCATTATAAGAATTGGAATTGTCACGTCTAAATTTATTATATACCGTTCTTACAGAAGAACGTGCCATATAAATGCCAGCAGATACGACGTGTTTCTTCGTACTTTTACTACAATTTCTATTCTTTTGCTTATATACGAAGGTTTTCTAGAAAAGAGCTTTAATATACATGTTAATGAATAATCTGGACTGAACACTTTGATAATAACACATGTATTCGGTGTCTAGCTAGAATTTAAACCGCTCGTTTACCATGATAGGTATCACGCGAAACCACAAGAGTTCAAAATATTGTCACCATTGCTGTACAAGAAAAATTCGAAGACCAATAAAAAGGAAAAATTCTTAAAAATCTAAGGTTATTATTTTTTCTCGCTTCGTGACCCAGAAACTCCGAAAACCTGCTTAAACTTTCAGAGACTCACATTCAGGCGAGCATCGTGACTGCTACAAGTTAGTCAATAATTATAGATCGCGTGCAAAACCGGCAGAAAACGCAAATCACGGCACTTCAGAGTGTGCACATCTCCTCTTGCAGATCCAGGTCAATCAATAGGGTAGAAACTTCTCCATAGGTACAGCTCCGTAAATTTTTCCAAAGGGTCAGGCAAGAATATTTTTTCTAACCTAAAAATCATAGTTCTATAGCTCTTTTCTATCAATTTTTTTTTTAATTGAAATGATTAATTATAACTTAAAGTATTTTTCAAATTAAAATATTGAAATGTAATAATATAAAAGGTTTTACAAATAAACTATCTTGTATTTAAATTGAAAAAATTTTAGAATTTTATGTTCGATACTTATTATTATTATTTAATGCAACAGTAAATATTACGACTATCATTATAATTCTAGCATATCACCAATAATTATTTGTATATTTTATTTGCAATTCTTTATAAGGTAATAACGATATTTCTATTTAAAAAATTATACTTTTTTATTTTATCAAAGCTATTAAAAATTAAAGATAAACGTTAACGAAATTATTAATTTACCTTAATGTTTAACACTTTATGGTTACCTGCATAGTAATTTGTAAAAATTATAACATTTTTAACAGCATATGCAGAATTAAGAAAACTAAATATTAAAAAAGTGTGGTCGATTTGATTGGACAGTTTTTCGCGCAAATTTACCACATTATGGTTTCTACACTTCCTTCGGGATTCTGTTTCAGTTCAGAACGTTCCCGCCAGGTGGCATCAGTTGTGCTTGCAACCGTCTATCTGACATTCAAAACTTGCTATAATTTTTTTCAAATCAAATAATGATTTCAGAAAAACTATTAATTTACCTAAAAAAAATGTTTACCTAATCAGTGAAATATTTTATTAAAAATATTCTTATACTTGCAAAATTATTTAATTGTTTAATTACGCAATTAACATAAATAAATAATTTTTTCAATTTGAAATATATAACTAAAATTTGTAAATCGAGTAATATAACAAATTATATATAATATAATAAAATCATCCACATTGTTTGACTTTACAAGTGAGTCGAACTTAATATTATACTTAATCGTATGTATATACATGTATCTATTATATGTTGTTATATAACATACAAAGTAAAACAATTTATTCTCAACAACTGAAAGTTATAAAGTTAACAAATCTTTTATTAAAATCCCTTTATCAAAGTATATAAATTTAATTTTTTTTTAAAGATATATAAATAAGCAAGTTACAGTTACTGTAACATTTAATTCTCTAATACACTGTAAGAACACATTTATCGGTAAATTTGCAGACATGTAATAACTTCTAAAACTTTTCCCATTTACGGTCTAACACGCATTAAGCCTGTTTAATACACGGCAGCAATGCGAACAATGCGAAAGCAAATAGGAGCAATGCCATATTGAATGTGCGACGACAGCGAAATGGACCTTGCATCCAGTCAAGATCAAGGTACCTTGTGAAGCCTCGTTTGGAGTCACAGTTCTCCATGGGTACGATAATGTGCTGGATATCGGTGTGTGCGTCTCACGCGCACCGTCATCCTCGCATCCGTGTGACCTACTAACTTGTCCAGCCACGCACACACTCGTACACGGATGTGCATTCAGCGCGCACGCTATAAATGCTACATAAGCGCACGAACAGGACCCAGGACCTGACTTTTTTCCCGCTTAACTTTCGGTTTACGTATCCTTTATTGCTTTGGTTTTCGATGAACGTAACAGTGACACTGATTTTCTCTTTACCTTGAAACATTTCTTCGCCGCAGTTTTAACGTCAAATGTTTCTGGAAATAGAAATTCTAACAATTAACTGTTTTTACTAATCGACGTGGAATTATCAAATCACATTCGTATAGGTTATGTCGAAATTCTTATGATAACTTAACATCCTCCATAAGAGCCTTTTATCATCCGGAATACTAAATTATACATACTAATTCATGCAGAATATTCAGAAATGAATAATTTCTCTTTTCAAGCGATCCAATGGTCAATTCAAGGAGATCGAACTTCACACCTTTTACTCTTCCGCTTTCTATTAATCAATATTAGTGGTTGTAATAAGACAATTCGTAATAACATTCCTTAACTTTTCCTGCGGATGAGTATTAATTAGTACAAGTTTAGTTTCAATCTGTAGATGTGCATCGATACATAACCTATAGAAAATGATTGAAAATTATCTGCGGTGATTTTCATAACTAACCTGTACACAGACTCTGAAACTCTCTCGTTGCACGCACACACATTTCGGCACACAGGTCCACTTGTCTTACGCATACCAACAAGTCGATCTTCTCCGGTTCATCTTACATTCACACGTACGTGTGATGTATGGTAATATGAAGGTACATACAGGTACATGCAGGTATATGCAGGTAGCGTATATCAGAGGGGCACGTTAGGCCCCCTAACGGCTGCTGGAGGGGACACGTGGGGTCCCATAGAGCGGCGAGTAGCTCGTTGAGGCCCGCACCCATACGCGCGCGAGCCGTGAGTAGTGTTAACGGCCTTGCTTTATGTGGGTCATGAAACAAGGTCCCACCAGCACGAGGAGCACGGGAGAACACAGCGCGCTTAACTCGGACTCCGCTTGATACTTCCATAGACCTACACGCGCGCACGCGGCGCTCTCTCGTGCATGCGTCTACATGTGGCAGCACAATAGCGCGCGATTTGACGAAAACAAAAAGACAAACAGCGCGAACGAACGTTCTACTCTTGCCAGTATCTGCGTCGTTAAATACGGTGCTCTTTCTTTTCTCCTTTTGCACAGAATATGTAAATATTGCATAAAGCAGTTGGGTTATGATAGATAAAGATTAGATGGAAATGAGCATGGACTCCATAGCTGTTTACCATTGAAATGTTTAAACTGATTAAGATTTATTTTATAGATTGAAGTACACAAAAATATTTCAAGTAATATATTTCTTTTTTGAAGAAACGATCTTAAATATTTATCGAATGCATGTACACCTGATTTAAAATTAACATTTCACGGTATATAAATAAAATTTCGTAAAATTTACTGTATATTGCATTTTGTTTGTTTGGATGCATTTTCATGAATATATATCAACTCCTATATTACAGCATCTATAGAATTTTATTTAATAATGAAATAATTTTCTCCTGTAAGCGTTTAAAATTCTTACCAATATTTAAAAGTGTAAATTCAAGTAAAAATGGTAATATAAACAAAAATTTAATTCTAGTTTCTGAATTTATTTTTTCATAGAGAATCACCTTTCTTTACGGTTGAACTACCAATAACGGATCAGTTGGTATAGTGACTTTATAATTTAAGAAGGCGTATGTTATTTACATAGAAAAAAATCCAAGTGTCTATTGTTACTGAGTTTATAGAACACATTGAAAGCTTGCACCTCTGACCCTAGAATGTACTATACTCCATTTCAAGTCTTGTACCACTTGTCTACGTTATAACACCAAACTGTAGAATATTATATTTCACTTAGAAACGATAGCAATGGTACATTTTCCTTTGTTAAGTTTAAGATACTTTTATGAATTGAGCTAGAATTTATGAAAAATGGAATATCCTGTTACATTTTCTCGTATCTATCATTTCGAATTATCTACTATGAATTAGTTTAACCTTTACCACTCCACCAAAAGACAAAAGATTTTTGAGGTTATTTTTACAATTTAGAATAACTGTTTTAAAGAAGTTAAAGATACTTTATTTACCTAAGGAAATATAGTGATTACCTATGTTTCGCCATTTTACTTTTTAGATATATAAGTATGTTCAGTTTATTGTCTACCGGAAGTGGGAAATTTGTTGCAGTTTAATTATACGTACTTTGTGGTTAATTCAATATTTCGCTTACCATTTATCTATAACAGCATACCTAATTGGTCGATGGAAAGTATAATGGGAATAAAATAAAAAGAAGAAATGAAAAATTAGCAATTCTTCGTATCCTGAGAATAAAAGAAATGTTTCACTGTAAAGGTACCTTAACTATAGTAATAAAAATAATTAGCAATTTATTTATTTTTATTTTATTTTTCGTTTTCAATACGGAATGTATTAATTTTCTTTTAACGTGGAAGCAGAAAATATCTTATGGTTATAATATAATTATAATAATAATTTTACTTTCATTACACATACAGATGTTGTTTTATGTCGATAAAGCCTTGCAAATTTTTAGTATCTGTTATATAATGAGTTTTGTAAGTTAAAAACCTTTCACCTAAAAAGAAATTTCTAGCCATTTCCAATAACTCGCTAAGAGTACAAAATGTTCTAATTTATAAATGTTAATAGAGAAATTATCATATTTTTCAAAATTAAAGCTGAATGTAAAAATTAGCACAAGTAGATGAAAAGAAGGAATAATCTAAAAAATCAATTTCACGGTCATCTTTTTGTAAGATAAATGTTCTAATCGTTAAGCTAACTGTGATATCTATATATGCAACACTATCTTTTTAGTTCCCGAAATTGTTCTTAAGAAAGATGAAATATATGTTCAATACATTTAACTTAATATTTGAAGTTGTTAAAAAAAAATAATTTGAACATTATCAAATTACATACTACTTTTATATAATACAATATTTATTGAAAACCGGAAATTTATAGGAGCACATCCAAATGTACAATATATGATATTATATTTTCTGATTTTATAAAAACATGTAAATTTTCAATTTATTATAATTTAAAAATGTTATATTTTATAATAATACAATTTATTTTACCTTATCCATATATCACTGAAACTTTTGTAAAATAAAAATAAAATTTTAGTTGTATTACAAATAAAAAAAATATAAAACATTATTATTAATAAAATACAATATTAATAGTA